AAAGCCTCCTGGCAGTTTCAGCTCTTACCACTTTGTCTCCCTCCACTTTCTCCAGAAGGGTATTTTGCTTTTTCTTTTAATGTTAGCCATACATCTTGATATCACTCTGCCTACTGCTGCAAATGTTATTGCTGGTCTGCAGGCACCTCCAGATGTTACATACTTTAGATCTAATTTTCGATCTAGAGCGTCCTTGAAAGTAACCGGAAGGTGACGTGTCTTGCTAGTCGGAATAATGATCCATTCACCATCGGAGATGACAACAGCAGATTGACCTTCAGCCCTTTCAGGGGATACAAGTCTGACAACACATTATTCACACAGGCCATTTCCTCCGGCCACTGCCATTCTTCTTGGGTTACCTGCTCCCGTCCCTCAAAAAAGGGAAATTAAACCGGATGTCTCTTGAGATTTGGGAAGTACTTTCTGACGTTTTATGGAGAGTTTCCTCCACTTCACCCCAGGCAATTGCCTCCTTAACTGCCCTGGTAAACGCTTCTATTAGGCAGAAGTCAAAGCCTGTAGCCCCATTAATGTCTTCATCCTCCGACCAATTGGGTGCCTCCTGCTGGCTATGGTTAGAAGTGCTAGGCAATTCAGCCATCGACTGAGGAGTAGAGGCTTCTTGTATCGACTCTTTGGCCGATTCTTTAAAGGCTAAGTTGACCTTTTTTTTTTTTTTTTCGGGGGGGGGGGGGGGGGGGGGGGGGGTTGACACAGGAAGGAGTTCACCTGCTGACCTCATTGGCAAACACCCTGCACTTGCCCTCCCCCCCTTCCAGCAGATCACTACCACCCACATCCACAGGTGCACATTTTTCAAAGGCAATCAGTGAATACCTTTCTCACTAAATACTCAGCCATTGATTGTTCATTTGGCAGAGTGTGCATGAGCTGAGTGATCAGATAACAGCCTATGTGGATAGAGCTGTAGTAACCTGTGATGTCTTATAGACCAAGAGCGATGACAATGAGAGGTGAGATGGTGACCTTGACCAATATTACCTGGAAGTCTGTGCCTAGATGGTGACCTGTTATTGCCCTTAGGGGCTCCTTCCGTCTTGAGGTCCTTGCAGGGCTGTAGGCCGCTTGCTCCAAGTAGACTTGCCATACTAGCTTCTCAGGCAATAACATTTCACCACAAACCTCGCAACTATTAGGGCTGGTAACCTGTGATGCCTGTAGACCAAGAGCAATGACAATGAAAGGCGAGATGTTGACCTTAACCAACATTGCCTGGATGTCTGTGCCTAGATGGTGACCTGTTATTGCCCTTAGGGGTTCTTCTGTCTTGAGGTCCTTGCAGGGCTGTAGGCCGCTTGCTCCAAGTAGACTTGCCATACTATCTTATCAGGCAATGACATTCCACCACAAACCCAACAACTATTAGGGCTGGTAACTTGTGGTGTTTTGTAGACTAAGAGCGATGACAATGAGAGGTGAGATGATGATAGGGTTGCCACCCCATCCCTTTAAATCTGAACACATATTAATGACACAGGGTCTGTGGCTGATTAAGGTGATAAACTCATAGTGCCTTACCTGCATTAAATTAGCCTCAGGACCTGTGTAATTAATATGTGTTCAGGTTTAAAGGGTTGAGGTGGCAACCCTAGATGATGGCCTTGACCAACATTGCCTGGATGGCAACTTGTTGTTGCCCTTAGGGGCTCCTTCCATCCTGAGGTCCTTGCAGGGCTGTAGGCCGCTTGCTCCAAGCAGACTTGACATACTAGCTTGTCAGGCAATGACATTCCACCACAAACCCAACAACTATTAGGGCCGGCCACCTGTGATGTCTTGTAGACCATCTTGAGGTCCTTGCAGGGCTGTATGCTGCTTGCTCCAAGCAGACTTGACATACTAGCTTGTCAGGCAACGACATTCCACCACAAACCCAGCAACTATTAGGGCTGGAAACAGATGATGTCTTGTAGACCAAGAACAATGACAATGAGAGGCGAGATGATTACCTTGACCAACATTCCCTGGATGTCTGTGCCTACATAAATACTTTTTTGGCCTATAAAGGGTTCCCTCCATCTTGAGGCCCTTGCAGGGCTGTAGATCTTACAACAGCATTGGGGTCAGATGCTCCCTTTTTCTCAATGTCTTCACTACTTACCTTATCCCTTTACTTTGCTGGCAAGGAGTGGTCTGACTGAGCAGCGTTCTCTGTAAAACAACAGACTGAAATGACAGACGGCATGACATAGTGATCCCACAGCAAGCATTGAGAATGAACCTGAGATAGGAAGAGCCCAGGTGAATGCCATAACGAGGAAAAACGTACCGGCAGACAATGATCACATAAGCATCCAGCATTCATGAGTAGAGAACACCACCATGAAAACCATTCAAAACTGGCAGCCCTGGCCATTCGTGATGAAATCATGCCTGAGCATGCTCAGATCGTGGTCTCTGCTCCTGCTACCATCTTGGAAAAGGGCAAGCCAGAAAAAAATGCCCACAGTGGCCACATCACTTCCTATCATCCATGCAGTGCACTTGCACTGTTGCAGCCATCTTGGATATGGCAACAAGCATGACTCCAAAGCTAGAGTTGCTACTTCGTCCCTTTAATCCGAACACATTAATGTCATGGGTTCTGGGACTAATTTAATGCAGATTAGACACTAAGAGATTTAATTACCGCCATAATCAGCCACAGAACCTGCGTCATTAATATGTGTTCAGGTTTAAAGGGATGAGGTGGCCACCCTATCCAAAAGGCCTCCCAGACCACCATGATGGGGCTCCAATCATATGGATCATTTAGAGGACTTCCACCCAGGAGAGGCTGAACCTGGGGGGGGCCACAAGCAGTAAGGGATACCTCGCGGCTCCAGTCTTGATCAGGGAAGGACAAAAAGGAGAATGCTATGAGCTGGGTCCATCTTTGATTTATAGCTAACCAGTCCTATCAGGTTGCAGGGGCGAAGCCACAACCCATTGTATGCTGTCATGATGCACCAGGAAATGTCTATCTGTCTGCAGGACACCGGGGAGATACTGGAACTCTAATTCATGGTCACCTGGAAATAACCAGAAGGAGAAAGTCCATCCAAACAGTGAGATTGGTCAGAGACTCATTGGTATCACTCTGGGCATTGCCAGGCTAGGTCTTGGTTACAGAGTGAAGGGTGATGCCGCTCATACTATACGTGACCCTCATCTACATCATGGACATTTCCTTCAGCTTCTTAGTAAATATGATGGATATCTTCACCATCCTATAGAAGAGGTTGGGGTCCCGAGTAGTCATAGACAGGCCCAGCACCCCAATAGTAGAGGAAGAGGTGGTCTGGTGACATTGAGAAGACGACTCCGGTCAGTCTCTGGATCTCCATCACTGGAAACATGGCGAGACAACAAATACTCCGGGATGGTGGAGGAGATGTTGGTGTCAGTGTGGAAATGGACAGAACACGGGATGATGACACTGAGAGAACAATACGGCTTCATTCTACGATATGTCCAGGAGAGAACGGGACAGGGGAGACCTTTCTCTGGAATGAATGTCAGTAGAAGGCCCGGAGAAAGCCTGCTCTGTGTTCTGAAAGAGCAGATGGAACATTCTCCTTGTGTGTATACAATATACTCCTGATCTCTGTACCTTGGGCTGTATATGACATATTCCTGATCCTTGGACTCTATACACAGGGCTGTATGATATACTTCTGACCCCTGCACTCTATACACAGGGCTGTATATGATATACTCCTGACCCCTGCACTCTATACACAGGTCTGCATAGGATATACTCCTGACCCGTGCACTCTATACACAAGGCTGTATATGATATACTCCTGACCCCTGCGCTCTATACAGAGGGCTGTACAAGATATACTCCTGACCCCTGCACTCTATACACAGGGCTGTACAGGATATACTCCTGACCCCTGCGCTCTATACACAGGGCTGTATATGATATACTCCTGACCCCTGCACTCTATACACAGGGCTGTATATGATATACTCCTGATCCCTGCACTCTATACACAGGGCGGTATATGATATACTCCTGACCCCTGCAGTCTATACACAGAGTGGTATATGATATACTCCTGACCCCTGCACTCTATACACAGGGCTGTATATGATATACTTCTGATGACCTGTAAAGACTGTTAATGCGTCACCTAGGGGCAAATTTTTTTTGGATACCGAAGTTTGCTGTCATCGCACCAACACACACGATTTTTTTTCCATGCAATTAATTTTTATTATGATTTTACCTTGAACACAACTGCAGTCACAGAATCAGGAGACAGTAAATGCAGAAATCCGATTGGTCGGGAAGATCCCCATTCTGGAATGTGGAGGTGGAGTCATTATTGATTGGTGTACAATACACAACGTGTTTCATTATTATAAAAAGATCCCGACATAGACAATGGGGGGGGGGGGGGGGGGGGGGGGGATAATCCCGGAGGGGGGGGGGATTTTGGAGAAATGAGAAGCCTTGCCTTGGAGTAAACCATTCTGGCCGTAATTTAATAACACAGAATTTCCTATGAACGTCAGCTCCACCTAGGGGCTAGAAGGCAGAATATTTTCCTTAAATACCTTCAATACAGACCGTGCCATACAGCATTATGGCCATTAGATGGAGCTGATGATCTGAGGAAATCATTGAAGGAGATACAATTTGCTAAATTTGTTACAGTTGGGTAGTATTGTTGACCAGCTACTAATCGCCAACCCGGTCTCACACTTCATCCACGTCTTTGGTGACCTCTGACCTCCTTATGATGAAGATCAGCCATGGAGTATATCTGAGGTGTATATCACGGGGTGCGTCTTCCCCACATGAGAGCTGGGATGTCCAGCAACATTCATCTAGAAGACATTTCCCGCACTCAAGGCACTAATACACCTCCAGGGTTGTGTGAGACCCCAGGAAGACAGTACTTCAGTGAGGAACATTTCCCTCACTCAGGAAAGGAAAGTGGCTTCTCCCTCATGTGCAATCTCTGATGTCTGGAAAAAGTGGATACCTGTGAAAAACATTTCCCGCACTCAGGACAGGTATACGACTTTTCCTCAGCGTGAGACCTCTGATGTGTGACAAGTTCTGACTTTTTTGCAAAACATTTCCCGCACTCAGAACAGGAGTAGGGCTTCTGTCCCCCGTGCAATCTCTGATGTGTGTGAAGACTGGACTTCTGTGAAAAGGATTTTCCACACTGAAGACAGGAATACAGCTTCTCCCCCGTGTGGGACTTTTGGTGTCTGTTGAGATTGGATTTCTCTGAAAAACATTTCCCACACAGAGAACAAGAATACGGCTTCTCCCCCGTGTGAGACCTCTGATGCGTGACAAGTTCTGATTTTTGTACAAAACATTTCCCGCACTCAAGACAGGAAAATGGCTTCTCCCCCGTGTGCAGTCTCTGGTGTTTGTAAAGATTGGACTTAAAGGAGAAACATTTCCTGCACTGAGGACAGGAAAACGGCTTCTCCCCCGAGTGAGACGTCTGATGTCGGGAAAGATAGGACTTCTTTGAAAAACATTTCCCGCACTCGGGACAGGAATACGGCTTCTCCCCCGTGTGAGATCTCTCATGCTCAGTAAGAGCGTATTTAAAACGGAACCACCTCCCGCACACAGTGCAGGAGAATCTTTTGTCTAGTGGAAGGGCGGCTCGGTCCCGCACAGTCTGCGAATCTGATGGTCCATCTACAATGGGTGGTGCCGGATGGACATTGGAGGGAGCCGGGTTTTCTCCTGGACTATACTGTGTGAGGTCCTCATCTTCTACTTTCCAGTCTGGAGACAAAGTGAGACAATCCTCTGAGGTTTTCCTCATCTCCCGGCCATGGACTAAAATACAAAGACAAAGAGGATTACTAGACAGGAGCCCCACCAGAGGTCAGAGAGTGAGGATGGGGGAAGGGGGACCAAGAGGAAGACTGGACTCATCCTGAAGACCACCATCATTGGGGTATTGGCTCCTCCCCTATCCCGAAGACCACCATCGTTGGGGTATTGGCTCCTCCCCTATCCTGAAGACCACCATTATTGGGGTATTGGCTCCTCCCCTATACTAGGAAAGGGGATCATGGAGGCCCTGGACTAGGAGAGGGGGTGTATGGAGGCCCTGGAACTAAGAGAAGGAGTGCCTAAGGGCCCTGGACTAGGAGTGGGGGAACATGGAGGTTCTGGACTAGGAGTGGGGATCATGGAGACCCTGGACCAGGAGAGGGGATCACGGAGGCCCTGGACTAGGAAAGGGGATCACGGAGGCCCTGGGACTAAGAGAGGGGGTGCCTAAGGGCCCTAGACTAGAAGTGGGGGAAAATGGAGGCACTGGACTAGGAGAGGGGGTGCCTAAAGGCCCTGGGACTAGGAGTGGGGCAACGTGGAGTCCCTGAACTAGGAGAGGGGGTGCCTGGAGGCTGTGGACTAGGAGAGGGGATCATGGAGGTGCTGGACTAGCAGAGGGGGTGCCTGAAGGCCCTGGACTAGGAGATGGCATGCCTAAGGGCCCTGGACTAGGAGAGGAGGAACCTGGAGGCACTGGACTAAGAGGGGGTGCCTAGAGGCCCTGGACTAGGAGAGGGGGTGCCTAGAGGCCCTGGACTAGGAGAGGGGATGCCTGGAGGCCCTGGACTAGGAGAGGGAGTTCCTGAAGGCCCTGGACTAGGAGAGGGGGTTCCTGAAGGCCCTGGACTAGGAGATGGCATGCCTAAGGGCCCTGGACTAGGAGAGGGGATGATGCCTGGAGGTCCTGGACTACGAGGGGGTGCCTGGAGGCCCTGGACTAAGAGGGGGTGCCTGGAGACCCTGGACTAAGAGGGGGTGCCTAAGGGGCCTGGACTAGGGAGAGACATTTATCAATTGTTGCAAGTAATGCCAACCAGGAGCAGAGAGATGGCTTGTGTGGAAGAGATATTAAATACCCAACATCCGCTCTATCCTGCCATCTGATCCAGAGAACAATGAGGTCTTGCTCACACGGGGAGAATGTATCTGTGCCGGGTGTGATGGCCCAGGTGTTCTGTGCATCCTCCCATGCAGGAGATCCCAATATAGTTGTTTGGGATGAAGTGGCTGCACGGACACCATCGCTACTCCCAATGTGACATCTCTGCGGATGCATGACCCCGAATGCACTCAGGTTTTGAACACACCCACAATTTGACCACAACCTCTTTTTTTGCATGGTGCACACTGCTATATTTCCTCCTACCATCTTTTTGGGAGAATGGGGGAGTGTAAAAAAGTTACAGGCTCCTGAGATAGAAGGTCCTCCCAATGAGGCAGCAGCAAGGGAGCATTCGCCAGCACCGCACCACAGACAGAGAAGCCAATCCGAGATTCCTTTGGTTTCTTTCCATCATAATAGACAAGGAATGAGTCGGAAGGCGTAGAATCAGTTGGGAAGGCGGAAGGCATAGATGAGATTGTACTGATCCTCCGATGTCACTAGGGCATCCATTGCGTCCACCAGGAGGATCCAACAAACCTTGCGGTGGAGACAGGATGCCAGAAGATCCACATCCAGCATCCCTCAGCAAAGGCAGAGCTGATGGAACACCTGTAGGTGCAGGGACCACTCGCCCTAATCCAGGGTCTGATGGCTGAGATAATCTGTTTGGCCTTTTTAGACCTCTGGAATATGGCGGACAAAGCCGGAATGAACCTTCCCACCCATCTCAAGATGCGAGACGTCTCCACCGCCGCTACTGCACTTTATGTGCCCCTCTGATGACTGATTTGCACCACCGTGGTGGCGTTGTCCAACTAGATCCTGATCGGCAGACCCTGTAGGTGATCCATCCCATGTGTCAGCGACAACCTGACCACCCAAGGCTCCAGGACATTGATGGGGCAGTCGAGCCTCCTCCGGTGTCCAAAGACCCTGAGCTGATTCCTATACGAAGACTCCTCCCCAGCCTGACATCCATCATGACCACAGTCCATCGAAGGGGAAGGACGAACATTCCATAAATCCAGAGACCGCACTCACCAGAGAAGAGAGGCCGACGGCAACCACTCCAGATGAATGCAAATCTCCAAGGAAGCGGAAGACCTGTTCCATTTGGACAGGATTGCCTACTACAGTGTGTGTCCAAAATTATTCAACCCCCAATGCTGTAAAGGGGTTTAGGGACTATAGTGTACATTTGGAATTGTATTCAGAATCAAATCCTACAAGGACGTTGTAACTACCCAAATGCAACTAAAATGACATCAATTGTTTATGTAATACAGTAGTAAATGGTTCTTATGTGGTTTCTTCATTGCCACAATTATTCAACCCCTTAAAGACTACCACTCTGAAGAACAGAGGTTCATACAGGTGCTTTCCATCAGGTATTGAAAACACCTGTGGATGTCACCGAGCAGCAATCAAGCATAATAAGCACCAATTAGGCAGCTTTAAAATGACTGTGATACTCAGCTCCTTCTAGACATTTACTGGTGTGGTTACAAACATGGTGAAGGCAAGAGAATGGTCCAGGAAGACAAGAGAAGAGGTGATTTCTCTTCACAGGAAGGGCAATGGCTATAAGAAGATTGCAAAGATGTTAAACATACCAAGAGACACCTTAGGAAGCATCATTCGCAAATTCAAGGCAAAGGGCACTGTTGAAACGCTACCTGGTCGTGGCAGAAAGAAGATGCTGACTTCGACTGCTGTGCGCTACCTGAAGCGTAGAGTGGAGAGAAGTCCCCGTGTGACTGCTGAGGAACTGAGAAAAGATTTGTCAGATGTGGGTACAGAAGTTTCAGCCCAGACAATAAGACGCACACTGCGTAATGAAGGCCTCCGTGCCAGAACTCCCAGGCGTACCCCCTTGCTGTCTCCAAAGAATAAGAAGAGTCGACTGCAGTATGCCAAAAGCCATGTGGACAAACCACAAAAGTTGTGGGATAGTGTTCTGTGGACTGATGAAACAAAATTAGAACTGTTTGGGCCCATGGATCAACGCTATGTTTGGAGGAGGAAGAACAAGGCCTATGATGAAAAGAACACCTTGCCTACTGTGAAGCATGGTGGAGGGTCAATCATGCTTTGGGGCTGTTTTGCTTCTGCAGTACAGGGAAGCTTCAGCGTGTGCAAGGTACCATGAATTCTCTTCAGTACCAGGAGATATTGGATGGAAACGTGATGCAGTCCGTCACACACCTGAGGCTTGGGAGACGTTGGACCTTTCAACAGGACAATGATCCCAAGCATACCTCCAAGTCCACTAGAGCATGGTTGCAGAGGAAAGGCTGGAACATTTTGGAGTGGCCATCGCAGTCACCAGACTTAAATCCGATTGAGAACCTCTGGTGGGACTTAAAGAAAGCAGTTGCAGTGCGCAAGCCTAAGAATGTGACTGAACTGGAGGCCTTTGCCCATGAAGAATGGGCGAAGATACCCGTAGATCGCTGCAAGACACTTGTGTCAAGCTATGCTTCACGTTTAAAAGCTGTTATAACTGTAAAAGGATGCTGTACTAAGTACTAAGATTGAATGTCACTTGGGGGTTGAATAAAACTGATAATGCTGTGAGCACAGAAAAGACATTTGTGGTTATTTCATTATAACTGTTATGTTATATTTGTCTGACCTACAAGTGCCTCTTTAATGTAAATGTAAGCAAGATGACTGAATGATCAAAAGCAATGTCAAACTGGCCAAAACACTCAATTTCAGTGGGGGTTGAATAATTTTGGACACAACTGTACATGGAATTGAACATACAGAACCGCTCAAAGACAACCACCATCAGGCCCATAACCTGCCTGTGAAAATGCAGGGAAGGCTGCTTGAAATTCAAAATCTGCCAGAGTTCCTGTGTTTGTCGAACAGGAGGAACACCTTGGATTGCTCCGAATCAAGGATCAGCCCCAGACACTCCAAGCGCTTGGATGGGGTCAACAAAGACTTCCTTAAAGCGGGTCGGGATGAACATGAAGTCTTAGAAAGGAGGCATGGATGTGTGGGGAGTGACTTTGGGTGGGGGTTGTTCATTGTTCACTGCCATGTGGCTGCATCCCATTGTTCTATTGTGTGCCTTGCTTGAGAGCAAACTATTATGGGATATGTGTTTGTACTGGCTTGGTGGGGGGTGTTTCTGGCAGCCCTTCCCCCTGATGGGGCAGGCTGATGATATGTTTCCTGTTACTGGTTGTATTTCCCCGCCCAGTGTATATATCTTTTGTTTGTGTTAAAATAAAGCAGTTGACTTTCTGTTTTAAGAGAGTCTGGTGCTGTCTTATTTCCTGTATGATCAGCAGTGGTGTCCGTGGATAATGTTCAGACAGGGAAGCGGGAGTCTAACGGAAATACCCTAGCGCAGTCGGGGTCCAGTTCCGTTACAATGGAGATCTCTCCACTGTGCAGCAGCGTCGAGCGGGACTTCACATGCAGGAGCAAGTCATCCAGGTAGCCGAGCATGGACACCCCCTGTTGTCTCAGCAAGGCCGAGGCCGAGACCTTAGTAAACACCTGGGGAGTGGAGGCCAAACCGAAGGGTAGCACCACCACTTGGTAATGTCCATCCCAGCAGATGTCCCACACAGATGGGAATGTGCCGGTAAGTGTCCTTGATGTCTACAGAAGCCAGAAAAGCCCCATGGTGAAGGGAGGGTGATGGAATGGATTCCAGTCTGAACTCGGGAACCTGCATGAGGGCATTCAGATTCTTGAGGTTCAGGAATGGGCAAACCCCGTCTATCGTGGGAACTGTAAACAGACCCCTGAAACGGCTTCAACTCAGAAACCAGAACAATCACCGCTCAAAAGGAGCAGAACCTGCACAGCCCAGTACGGGGCCCTCAGACGTGTCAGTGAGATCCGCGTATTGGAGG